AAAAAAATAAGTTTGAAATGAAACCATCAAAAATATTTCCTTTGAAGTTTTTTTTTGTTTTGTTTTGTTTTTTTGGTTTTTCTCCAGTACCGGGAACCGAACTCACGACCTTGCGCTTGCCAGGCAGGCGCTTTTGCCGCTGAGCTAAATCCCCAGCCCCTCCTTCCCTCATTTTAAAAACAAACACAGTAAGTAATATCTACTTTATAGAAGTGAGCATTACATGAGACGTCTGGCACAAGGTAAGCACTTAATTAACTTCTGTTTGTTTGTTTTTTGGTTTTTTTCCGGTACCAGGAATCAAACTCACGACCTTGCGCTTGTCAGGCAGGCGCTGTGCCGCTGAGCTAAATCCCCAGCCCCTTAATTAACTTTTTTTTTGTTTTGTTTTTTGAGACAGGGTCTCTCTATACAGTTCAGGCTGGCCTAGAGCTCACTTTGTAGCCCAGGCTGGTCTCGAACTCGCAACAATCCTCCTGCTTCATCCTCCTGCATGCTGGGCCACCATTCCGTGCTTTAATTAACTATTATTATTATAAAATCATCATTATTCAAGCAATGAGAGGGGACCAAGAGATGGAAGAAAGGGGAAGAAGGGATGGGGAAGGGGACATAAAAAGAATTAAGATGTGTTATGGCCATGTACCAAACTCCCCCCATGAATGTAATTATTACGTACTGCAAACGTGTACCAATAAAACTCAAGATTGAAAAAAAAGAGATGAGCAAATAACATGAATAGGAAACTCACAGGAAATATAAATCATTAATAAAAGACACTCAAACTCACTGATAAAAGAGCCACATATTAAAACAAGATACAGCCGGGCGTGGTGGTGCACAGCTGTAATCCCAGCACCAGGGAGCTTGAGGCAGAAGGAGCGCCCTGGGTTTGAGGCCAGCCTGGGCTACAAAGTGAGTTCAAGGCCAGTGTGAACTGCACAGCAAAACTCTGTCTCAAAAAGACACCCCCCCCCAAAAAAAATAAACAAATAAAAATAAAACAAGATGCTACTTGACATTCAAGAGACTAGGATGAGAAGAAAGCCCGGTTGATGAGCGAAACGGGTATTCTCAAAGCCTGCAGTCACTGAGAATGTGAACTGGAATCATCTTTGTGATGGCGCTTAGCAACCTCTACCAAAATGAGCCAGGCAGGCCCTCTGGCTCCCACAGAAGCCAACGCCCCCACCCCCACTCCCTCAGTCTTGCTCCTTTCCCAGGCACTGGGTTAAGCCAATCATTCATTTTCCTTTGGCAGTCATTGGCTTAGGCAAGGACACGTGACATCATCCTGGCCAATGAGAAAGGAGGAGAAGGCAGACAATGGGCTTCTGGGAAAGAAAAGGACGCCCTTTCCTACCATTGTGTGTCCAAAGTATAGGGTGAATCCACCAGGGATGGCAGAGCAGGGGAGCAGGGGAAAAAAAAAGTCTTAAAGGCGTCTAATGACCAATCCAACTCCAAAAATTAAATCCCAGTGTCCCGGAACCGCACAACTTCCTTTTTTGTGCTAACAAACTCCTA